AAAAAAAAAAAAAAGAAATCAAGACCCATTCCACTTCCCCGCCTTTTCTTCAATTGCTCTTCAGAAAAACACACTCCTTCCCTTGTATGCCCATCTTTCCCTCTCTGTCCGTAGACTTCCTCCTGACTCTCAGAGGTTCGTGTCCTCTCCCACCTCCTGCAAGAAGCCCCCTGAGATCCTCCCAGAGCAATGGCCCTCTCACACTCTACCTTTTCCCATAGCTTTCTGAACCTCAATTTTGACTACGTTTTTAATGCACGTGCCTCACTTCGTTTCCCGAATGCGGAGATGCTTATCTTACACATTGCTCGCTTCTGAACTGGGCTCAATATGGTGTTTTAATGAATTTCTTGTTCCTGCTTCTGAAATGAAATGTCTTTCCTGAGTGCTGCACTTCGTTAACCCGCGTTGGTAATCTGGTTTCCGCCCCTGGCTAAACTCCAACCATTTTCTTGTCACCATTGACTACGGAAACACCAGTGTATAGTCCTCTGATCCTCCTAAGGCTCCTTGATCTCTCCAGCGTTAGCCATTATTGAGCCTCTCGTCTGGAAGTGCCATGACTTCATTTATTCTGCACTTTCCATGCCCTTCTAGCACCAAACTCCCTCCCATCTCCATCTCCTGCCCCTCTTAGATCTCTTCTGTTTCTGATGACAACTGTTGCCCCTAGGGAATGCCCCGGCCCTTCCGTTTTCTCTCAGGAGATTTCATCTGCTCCTATAGGTCTGCTGCCATCTTTAGGTCCGTGATTCCTGATCAGATCTCAAGGCTTGACCTTTCCCTAAGTCTATTCGCCCTTCCTGTCTGATAGATCTTTTGGTCTGAATTTACTTTCTTCATCCCAAATATTTTTCTCCAAGTTTCCTTCAAAGCTTTGCCCTTCCCTTTAATGTTGCCATGTTTGCTAACGACTCCAGTTTCCCTTGGCCAAACGGCGCGTCAGAATCACCTCCACTGCATCCATTTCTCTGACCTTCCATAGCTAATCGGTGACTAAATAATGCCCATCTCATGTTTGCTTCCTTCTCCTCCTCCTCTTCATGGTTGTTGCCATCACAACTGTGCAGACAAGAAGTTCTTTCCCTCTGCTCCTCGCCTCCTGCTTCGTTTTAAACTTCACGTTCTTTCTCCAAAGATGTCCTCTTGCAATGTATGTGAGGTACCAGCTGAAACCCTTCGGAGCCTCATTTTAGACTGTGTGACGGGCAGTTTGTAGCCTAGCTTTCCAGAGTTCTCCTGATCCAACTTACCCCAAAAGTTTTATCTAATCTTAATATGAAATTCCTGATTTACTTGGTAGCTCTTGTTTTTGGTAGGAGGGTCTGGAAAGAACTCATATTTCGGTAGGAACTGCTAAATGCTTTATATTCCCAACTTGTCTGATAACCACACACACAAGTGAGGTTGATTTTATTGCTATTTTAAAAGGGAAGTCACTGATAAGAGAGTCTAAGATCACACAGCAGAGGAGTCAAGATTGACTGAATACAACACCCATGCTCTTCTTAATCACACTGTGTTAATTATCTGTGTGCATGTCATTCCTCCATTGCTTAACTGCTTAAGTAAAATCGTTGGATCAGTGTGTTTTTTTGTTTTGTTTTTTAATGTGTGGGTTGTTTGTTTTTTTAACATTTTATTAGGGGCTCATACAACTCTTATCGCAATCCATACACACATCAATTGTGTAAAGCGCATTTGTACTTCATTCTCAAAACATTTTCTCTCCACTTAAACCCCCGACATTAGGTCATTTTTCCCCTCCCTCCCTGCTCCCCCCTCCCTCATGAGCCCTTGATAGTTTATAAATTGTTATTTTGTCATTTCTTGCCCTGTCCGATGTCTCCCCTCACCCCTTTTCGGTTGTCCATCCCCCAGGGAGGAGGTCACATATAGTCCCTTGTAATCGGTTCCCGTTGGATCAAGTTTTATTTACCATATATACTCGTGCATAAGCCAAGTTTTTCAGCACACTTTTATGCAGTTTTTGTGGTAAAATTAGGTGCCTTGACTGATATTTGGGTTGGTTTATACTTGAGTATATATGGTACATTCAAAATGTGATGGACACACCTTGTTATAATATACTCCAAACAGCTCTACTAAATTTGTTCCTACAAGGAACATACCTAAGGAAGTGCTTATTTTCCAACTGTAAGCTGATAACTGTATATTGTTAGTCTTAGCCAAATGTAGCCAGCGGTTTAAATTGTGTTTCTGTTCTAAAAATAAAGAGTTAAATATCTCTTCAGGTGTTTATTGGCATTTGTAATTCATCTTTGATGAAATGCTTATTCATACCATTTGACTCTTTTTTTACTTAAAGATGTATCTTTTCCATACTAATTGCTAAGCATAATTAGTATAGTAAGGATATTAATCATTTGTGAGTAATAACTCCAATGTGTCATCTGTCTTTTAGATTATGACTTTTGGGGGAGGGTTGTTTTGTTTTGTGGTAGTGCGTGTTATTGTTGTTGTTTTGTAAACAGTTCTGACATTGTTTTCCTCCGCTGTCATGCTTTGGAAGCCCTTTCCCACTCCAAGATGAGAGGATGATTAGCTCATTTTCACATACAGTTTTATGGTTCACCTCTATTCCTTTAAGTACCTTTAACACTACTGGAATTCATTGGTATGGAAAAAGGAGCTAGTTATATTTCTCATGAAAAGCCTGGATAGTTGTTCTCCAATTTAGTAAACTTACCTTTCCTCACACTATTTGAAGCATAGCTTTTATCATCTACCATATATACTCAAGTATAAGCCAACCCGAATATCAGCCGAGGCAACCTAATTTTACCACAAAAACTGCATTAAAAATGTGCTGGAAAACTTGGTTTATACATGAGTATATACGGTAATTACATATCAGTATGTATTAGATAATGTAATCTTATTGCACTATAATTCTTAACAGAGCCCATTGAAGTTCACACGTCTGTAGTGTCCCGATGTGCTGCTTGTTAGCAAGAGAGCTTTGGAGAACTTGGGGTCCTTCAAATAAAGACAAACCTGAAGCAGCTGAGGTTTCCTACCTAGTCAACTTTGTTGTCTATATGTGCCTGGATCCTCTGGACATTTTTCTCAGCAGGCTGTTTGTCCAGTGAGCAAGCATCGGCGAATGAATGTGTGGCAGCAAAGTGAGATGTTTTCTCAACTTCCATTTTTACTTGGGGTTTCCATGTATGTTTGTTTATCTCTACAGATGGCAGATCGGAGAATGAGCACGTGTGATGGGTCCGTGGCACAGGGTCTTGCACCAGACTCACTCAACCCTCACCAAACCAAAAAGGTAAGCCCCTGGGACTGCGAAGCCACCTGCTCAGCTGTTGGGCCTAGTGCCCAAAGATAACCAAAGCTTCTGCGTTCCACAGTTCTTTGTATGTCAAGCTTAGAGCTCCTGGTGATCTTCATGTGTGCTATCCAGTCATAGAACTGGGAGATTTATCATTGGTTATTTACCTGAAAGACAGCAAGGCATAGAGCAGTTAACGGCGTTTCACTCCTTCTTCCTTAGTTGAGGGTGAACTTCTCTGGGCGAACTCCTCCAGCTTCTTTATTCCATAGGCATAATTTAAGGGGAGAATAAAATGGAGGAGAGGGCTAATATTAATGAACTGATTAATGGAAGCATTTATGGTTGTTAGCTTTTTAATCCTCAGGTATTCAATATAAGGTAGATCAATACGTACTAGAAGCTTACAAATGGGGAATGCAAAATTTAATGGGTCAAAAATGCCATGAGTAAAGGAGTGCGTAAGGGATCAAGCCCAGAATATTCCGGTGCGCCTTCCTAACTAGAACTAGCCTCCCTCCTGGTTCTCCAGAGGACCTCCCAGCGGACATGATGTCCCAGGTCGGTTGGGTGTTCGGCTCCGGCCTCCCCGAGCAGCTGCGAGAGGAGGTTCTGGCGAGCTTTCATGTTCTCCTTTTCACATCTTGACCTCTCTCTTCTTACACCGAGTTCCTTTTATGTCTACCCCGCCCCTTCTTTTCCCCCATTTTTAATAAAAAAGACATAGTGGCTGTCAGATTGTTAAAGGTCTTCAACAGTGGCTGTCCAGCAAGGTGAACCCCTGCCAGAAGTTCATCCTTATTGGCAATACTCAGGTCGAAGAAGGCTTTTGTTATTCTGTGACACCTAATTAAACACCAGGAGTAACTGCAGTCGTGTTCTATTTACAGAAGCCATTCTGCTTTAGCGTTTGTTTCTCCGGCTGTAGGTGATGTTTAAAGTCTTTTGTCCAACTACATGGGTAATAGATTTTAATTATGAAGATAACAACGATGTTAAAAAGTACTTAGGATTTATTATGTGCTGAGCTGTGAGGTTTACATTTATTAACGCTTTTACTCTTCACTATAGTCCTAGGCAGGGAGTTCTACTCTTCTACTTGTGGCTGGAGAGATTGAGGTTCAGAAAAGTTGCACAAGTTGCCCAGGGGCATGGGGCTAAAAGATGGGTAGAGCTGGTATCTGGGTTTAGAACATCAACTTTTAACTACTATGCCCCAGTAACTCTCACTTTACCTGATGTGTGTGTGTGCATTGTGTGTGCTAGCCTTTTCCTCCGCACAAAGAACTATTGGCCTAAGTGAGCCCAGTAGATTCCCGGAGCAGCAAATGATCGATGTTCCCTTTTACACAGCTGGGTCAGCAGGAGCCATTTCACTAGTTCCAGGAGTCTCTGAATCCTGTGCTGCTTGGTGCCTTCCACCTTGTGGTCAATGGCGCATCACTCGGGGGAGGGAACGTGAAATGGGAGATCCACTGAGACCAGGGACCCATGCCATTGGTTGGGTAACAACCTCAATAAACCTTTGGCTTTAGAGGTTAAGTGCCTGGCCAAATAAGAATTATAGTTTTATTTTGTTTTAATTTATATATATATATATGTTAAGTGCCTGGCCAAATAAGAATTATAGTTTTATTTTGTTTTAATTTATATATATATATATAATTCCAAGTCATCTTTGATCTGTAATACCATGAAGAACACATAGTTAGTATGCAAAGGTATAAACCAAGGTAGGCATATATTGACAAAATAAAGCACGTCCCTGCAGTGGCAGTGGTTGTGCATGTACAGATTAGGCAGGCATACACATTTTATTCAAAGTAGGGGAGACATGCCAGTGCTTACAGAATTCAGCTTAAAATATTAAGCAAATGTAAAGGCCTGGTATTTGACTATATGATGTACCCATAATCAGAAAATTACATTGCACCTTGCTTCCTTAGATCAGTGATGTACTAAAGCATCTCCAAGCAGTATACTATTCACTAATTGAAAGACCATAGGATAGGTGAGGATTGGTGAAATTTTATCAAGAATGTAGACCTCAAAGCTCTGAAAACACAGCAAAATCAGAGACTGAATCCTGGCTTATAGTTTGAGTAACTTCTCGAAGCTCAATTCCCAGTCTGGAGGCTAGAACCCATACTAGGCTGGGGTGAGGCATCATCAGGTGGTGGGGGTATCACAGTTACCATAATGCTTGGCTCATAAGAAGCCCCCCAAAAGTTCTACATTACCAATCTCATGTTATGCCTAGAGATAGCATAATTCCCTTCGATAAGAAATGTTTGCGGTAATACTTTTTAACACCCCCTTAAATGGTCAAAATAGTAAAATGTCCATTGAAATAATTGCTTTCAGTATTTGGATCTGGCCTTTAGGGAACATACTGAGCACAAGGATGCTCTTTTGGGGAAATGATGTGAACTCAGGTTTTAAAAGATTTGCATGACTCGGGGCAGGAAGCCCTGTTTGGGTCTCAACTTCTCAGAAGCAGCCTGGGGGAAACGGGAGCTGTGAAAACAGGCTCCCGCGCACTTCGCTCTCTTGGGCTGTGACTGCGTTTACTTCTTGGCGGGCTCAGCGCAAGTGGGCTCCTGAACTCCACTTTCCCCGTGGGGTTCTGTGGTGACAGGCATGCTTTCCTCGCGCTCACCCTGGGGTTCTTTTCAAGTCCAGGTTTTTAGCAAATAAGTCCAGCTTTTCATATTTCCTCATTAATTTTGTTATTTAGAGAAAGGAACTCAATACAGGTTGCCCCACTATCCAATAGAAGAGCATGTTATGGCTGAGAAACCTCTTGTGACCTGAAATTCCATAATGCAGCGAAACCTTTGCCATAAACTTACATGGGAACAGTGTTTGAGCATGTGTCCAGACGCCCAAAAATGATCCACTCGATTACACCAAAGAGCACAAAGGGCAGCTCTCACAAGGCAGTGTGGGAGGCGTGATGCCGCGCCATTCCCACTGCTTCGGGATGTGCTGCCTCGTTCCTGGGTCACTTGGAAACAGTGCTAAGTGCTGCTTTCACTCTCTGCCCTTTTCTCGTGAACGCAAACGGTCAGATTTTGTTCAACTAACCGAAACAAATGTGGATGTAGAACTTTCAGAAAAATGAAACGGTGTAAAACGAACTTTCAAAAAGTGGAGGGACAGTGACTGTACCATCATTTCAAACATGTGTTACGTATCAGAAATACTCGACTAGAATTTTCTCAGTGAGGAAAGGAAAAGATAGAGGGTAAATCAGTTCAAGACTGGTAAATCGGGGCTCCCAAGGAACAGGGATCCCAAGTCTTTGCCAGTAAAGACAGAGAGAGCAGTATCTGACCGCTAGCAAAGAGTGAGTCAGATTACGTAGAAGTTGGTGCTCCAAGCACATGAATGCTGCTTCTGAAAATCAACGTTACAGAAGTGAAACAAGTGAGTCCAGCTATAGACACAACTGTGTATGAGGTGCAGAAAGAACAGAGCCAAGAAAGGGTCCCTCTAGATGGTGATTCTGGAAGGAAATTACATCTATTTTATAGTCTCACTCTTTTTTTTCTTTTTTTTTGCCAAAATACTACCTCCATCTGCCTTTCAATGATCTCTTTTGACTCTTGAAAGCCAGCAAGAAGTAGCACTTTGGCACAGAAAGGAACACGTGTGTGAAGTTAGTAGGTGGTCAGAGGGAAGAAGAACACGCCAGAGATCCTTCTGCCAAACCAGCTTTCACCATCCTCATCAGGGTGTCTTGAAATTATTAGCATTTTCATGCACTGTGTGTTTTTGTTACCAATGCGGATTATGTTCACATCTGTTGAACTGAACATGTTATGCTTAAACCAAACTCCTCAAACATTGGAAAATGTGCATTTCGGTCTGGGCCTACATTTGTGTAAGTCAGACGGAGTCTTGCCATCCCTGCTAAGCAGCCCTTTGGCTGTACTTCTAAGACCTGCTGACAGGAGGGCCCGGGACCTAGAGAGAAACATCATGCTTCATGCTTGGTCGAGGGCAACAAAGTGCCAAAAGGCCCCCAGGGAAACGGATGGACACCGTGGTTACAACCATGAGCTCAAGCACGGCCAGGATGGTGAGGCCAGCTCCGGAGTAGGCACAGTAGGTTCATTTGTGAATAAGGTGGCACTTACCAAGAGCAAGAGGCATGTGTGAGCCATTCCCGTGAGAAATTCCATCACTTGGCCAGAATAGTGCCCCCTTGAATGCTAACATGTTACATAGTTACAGTAAACAATATAGCATGTGTTATAGTAAACAGTATAGTTCATCATGACCAATGAAAATATTGAGACCAAAAATTTTATAGTGTTCCAAAAAAGTTCTTATTCTTGAAGGAATTTCTCTTGAAGGGTCAACATGCTCTCTCGCCATCCGAGAAAAGGGAGATGATGCTGTGGGATGCCTACGGTGCCTCTGTATCAAATCATATCTCACCTCAAATTGCCAAGATCTAATATCTGGGTAAACGTTTTCCACTGGAGTCTTCAACACTCCAGTCCTTTCGATCTACAACAATCACATCCCACCTTCTTTATACCGTAGGAGGATCATCGGTTGTTCATATATGTTTAAGAATCCAGAATGTCAAGAGTAGCATCAGGGATTCTCCCTGCGACATAGGAGATAGATTTATAGACGTTGCCACACTACCAGACTGCGGCTCACTTGGACTCTCAGATTTTTCAAAATAAGGAGACACTTAGATGCGTATTTTTTTGTTTTTGTTTTTTGAATCAAACTATTTTATGGTCTAACCACTTGAGAAGAGGTTACATTAAAAAATGGGTAGTATAATAAACCTTGTCCCAGGCATGTGTAAAAGTGCGGAGGTTGGGATTGGGGCGGGGTGGGGTGGGGGCGTTGTTTTCTGGTGGGTTTGTGTTTGTTTTTCCCGGTTTCAGCAGAGTACACAGCAATGTAAGCATTGCTTAATCACGTATCACACAACTTTACACCCGGGCCAATTCCCTGAAATGTTTTCAGAGGCACCTGCCCACACCCTCTCGCTACACGCTCACCTGTCTCTGGAGGTTCACTGCTTAATGAACTGTGAGTCGATTGCTTCCTCTGTGTCTGGGAATACTGTGCCTGTGTACATGAAGATCGGCTGCTTGGAAACCTGTGGCCCCAGGTCACATGAGAGTTGCTATGCGTGGAGAGGTACATTTTTCTTTCCTCTCTCTCTCTCTCTCTCTGAATTGAGGAAATACTGCAAGTTCTTGGGTCTTTGCTGCCTCAAATCGGAAGACGGTGGAAGCCTGACTTTTCACCGTGGAACTATCTTTGGTTTTGTCTTAGGGTGCCACACCTCCCATCCAGGCAGCATCGCTGGACTTTCCCGAGGAGCACAAAGCTTCTGAGGCCACAGTGGAGCAAGCCAGGCCTGAGCCCGCCGAGGTCCTCCATGTCTGCCAGACCCAGGTGGCTGAGCTGGAGCAGTGGCTGGCCCAAGCAAACGTGGCATTCGAGCCGGAAACATTAAACCCAGGCATGCAGCAGGTGGTGGAGCAGCAGCTGGTCGGCTGCCAGGTAAGAGGTCAAGGTTTGCCTCTTCCCAGGATTGGGTGCCTTTTTCTTAAAGCGACAGTGTGTTTCGTTCCATTGTCCAGCCCCAACCTTTATTCTCGGGGTGATTCTTGGAAATAACTTGTGACAGCAGACTACTTAGGATGACGGTGGGTGATCACACCTCAGCAGATGGCATCCGTATCGTGGACCGTGAACATGGAGACATCACTCAACTTCTCAGCATCATTTTCCTTCCTTGTCGGGGCTGGGAAAATATCATCCCTTAACTCCTCGTGGCTTGGCCGAATTAGAGGAGATGAGGCATTGGTTTGTCCCACAGAGAATGCCCGAGAAAGGTTGGCTCTTAATTTTCATGGATACTAAGACAGGACACTTTATGTCTGGATTTGCACCCCTGCTGATACATCACAAAAGGGCACTGGTGACATTTTATTACAATAGCTGCTGGTCCTGCTTGGGTTGGTGATCTCTGTAAATTCTAATTAAGATGACATTTGCCATGGCAGATTCCAGTTAGATAGATAGAGGATATTTTGGAATTGAGGCCCCTGGAAACCAAAAGGTGAGGACCCTGGCACTACCTAAAAGAACATGGAACAAGGAAGCAGGAACTTTCTTTTCTCCCACCTGCTAGTTGTCTGAGTGGGGGCAAGATGCTCAGGCTCACCCATCCTCTGTGACAGTCCCTTGTGAAGTGACAAGGGGGGTGTGGAGCTTCACAAAAACCTTCTGTATGTGGTCTGGAAACTTTATAAATTGATGCAGTCAGTTTCATTGGGATATGCATTAATATGTAGTCCTAAAATGACATTGATAACTAGCCAAAGTTATATCTAGTAATGGTATCTTTAAATTTGCACATGAGTCTTACTTAATTTTTACATTTATAATTTAACTGGAACTTGAGCACTTTTTTAAAAGAACAATGCTTTGCTCCTTAGAAATTGATTTTCAGTGGATCCCCATTTATCTTCTTTATTTTAAGAAACATTGCCATATAGGATAGGCAGTCTCTGGTACAATTAAAGACTAGTGGTCTATAGAAACCTTATGTGCCCTGATAGGAAATAAGATACTGAACTTCGTGTATAGAATGAAACATGAAATAATTTTATTTTGATGAAGAAAAACTCCAGCAATAAGTAGCTTTGCGCACCAGCCTCCGGCGAATGTTGTGGTTACTCCTGACCATTTACCATGCATGTTTGCTCAGGGGGAGCCCTGGTGACCGAGTGGGTTATGGTTTGGGCTGCTCACTGCAAGATCAGCAGTTTGGACTCAAGACGTTCCATGGGAGAAAGATGAGCTTTCTGTTCCTACAAAGATTTACAGCCTCAGTACAGCACAGGGATGGTTCTACTCTGTCCTGTCGGGTCACTGTGACTTAGAATTGGCTTGTTGGGAGTAAGTTTTTTGCCTGGATCGCCTCATTGGGTCTTCATAAAACAGTTCTGATTTTAGGTGCTTGTATTTCCAATACACAGGTGAGGAAATAGAAGTGTGCTCTGGAAATAATGTGCTCTGGAAAACACTGCTGAAAATAAGATACAAAGTCAGAGTTAGGGTGGAGAACAAGGCCTCAGTGGACATGTCATCCTTACGACATAGGACTGAAGGAGATGCAGGCCTGAGCAGGTTACAGACTTTTGCCAACTGGTTGAGCTGGAATCTGAACCTATTTCTGAATCTCCCCCCCAAAACAAACAAAAAATATAGAGGGTCTTTCTCACATTCTAACAAGGAAGAGATATTTCTCTCTCTTCTTGAGGTAGACCCGAGCCTAGGCAAAATGACTCCATTGTTGAGTGAGTACGACAAAGGGTGGGGAAAGAATGAAGGCGCCCTCACTGGTGGTGCTGGGTCAGAATGGACTCCTCGATGGCCCTGAGAGTGGCGGGGCTGCTGGCTTAGCGCTGGGCTCAAACCACAAGGTCTACCAACTGCCCCACAGGGAAAAGATGAGGCTCTGTTCCCAGGACGCTCTACGGACTCAGAAAACCCTCAGAAGCAATTCTAGCCTGTCCTCCGTAGGGTTGCTCTGAGTTGAAATTGACTCAATGGCAGTGGTTTTGGTTTTGTTGGGATAATTAGATATGAAATGGCAATCAATCAATCAATCAATCAACAAACCTAGATCCACACCTTATTTTGGATAGATTGGAGGAATTAATGTAAGCCATCAGTTCATTGTACTGACCGTGGAATCTGACCCCACATTGTTGTATGAATAACTGAAATCCTTGGCACCTCCAGTATTCTCTCTGTTCATCATGATGTTACCTAGTCGTCTAGTGGGAGGAGTCTTACTTTCTTTACATTGAGCCGTGATCCACACTGAAGGCTGCAATCCTTGATCTCCATCTGCAAGTGCTTCAAGCCCTCCTCACTTTCAGCAAACAGGGTTATGTCATCTGCATATCACAGATCATTAATAAATCCCTAGATAGTGTTAAAGATGCACACTCATCAATTAACCTAAAGGTTTGCGCTTTGAGCCCCACCAGCAGTACCATGTAAGAAAAGACTACCATTCTGCTACTAGTAAGATAACAGCCAAGGGCTTGAAGATAAACAAGTGGCCATCTAGCTCAGAAGCAATAAAACCCACATGGAAGATGCACACCAGCCTGTGTGATCACGAGGTGTCGATGAAAGCAGGTATCAGGCATCTAAGACCCAGGATAAAACCATACCCAAGTTGAATGGGGGGGAGGGGCATAGAGTGGAGACTCAATGCCCATCTGTACACAATTGGACATCCCTCACAGAGGGGTCACAGGGAAGAGATGAGCCAGTCAGCATGCAGTATAGCACTGATGAAACACACAACTTTTTGATAGCTCTTTGGTGCTTCCTTCCCCCCACTATCATGACCTCAGTTCTACCTTACTTATCGGATTAGGCCAGAACATGCACACTGCTACAGATAAGAGCCCGCAACACAGGGAAGCCAGGATAGATAAACACCTATCAGGGCCAACAAGGAGAGTAGAGATACCAGGAGGATTGGGGGGGAAGCGGGGGGATCAATCACAAGGATCAATCTAGAAACCCCACCCAGGAGATGAATAATGGAAAAGTGGGTGAGGGGCAATGGAGGACGATGTAAGATATGGGAAAAATAATCTATAATTTATCAAGAGTTCGTGAGGCAGCGGGGGAAGGGAGGGGGGGAAATGGGGAGCTGATAGAGGGCTGAAGTGGGAAGAGAATGCTTTGAAAATGATGGTGGCATATGTAAAATGTGCTTGACACATTGGAGGAATGTATGGAATTTGATAAGAGATATAAGAGCCTCCAATAAAAGCATTTTTTTAAAAAGAAGATTACAATCAAGAAAAAACCCCTGGTGTTACTGCGAATCGGAATCAACTTAAGTGCGATGGGTTTGGTTTTTGGTTTGATTATCTGGTAGCTTCGTATGGCTCCAGGTTCATTGTTTGGGGAAGTCAGCTGTCAATATATAAGATGCCTGCTATGAACTAATAATTTGCCCTCTGAAAATAATCCCCAAAGGAGACAAATACTCTTAGCAGTGTTGATTACCAACATGACGAACGGGGAGACAGTTTAAAGGGTGAACAGTAGGGTGAGCCATGATGTATCAGCTTACAACTCCTAACAGGGTGCTCAGGAAGTGTATGCAGACACGTGAGCAAGTGCGTTGTAAAGTATCCAAGTGTCGAAAGCAAGCCTAGAATAAGCTAAGGAGCAGTGGCTCTCAACCTCTGGGTGGCGACCCCTTTGGGGGGTCAAACGACCCTTTCACAGGGGTTGCCTAAGACCATTGGAAAACACATAGTTCCCATGTTCTTAAGAACCAAGACACGGCTCCTCTATCCGTCTGCAGGCGGGTCCGCCCACATGCAGATACACCAACATACAAGTACCCAGTATGAATACTGTTAACCATTTACACCATGCTTCAAGACTAAATTTCATTTATTTGTCATTAGAAATACATATTTCACAATATATAATTACTGCATTTGTTTTTGTGATTAATCACTATCCTTTAATTATGTTCAATTTGTAACAATGAAAATACATCCAGCATATCAGATGTTTACATGATGATTCATAACAGTAGCAAAATGACAGTTACGAAGTAGCAACGAAAATAATTTCATGGTTGGGGGTCACCACAACATGAACTGTATGAAAGGGTGGAGGCATTAGGAAGGTTGAGAACCACTGCTATAGAGCATAGGTTCCTAAACTTATGTGGCCTACCGCCCCCGTTTCAGGAAAAACAAACAAACAAACATGACTGGGCTCCTCTCTGGCAATTAAAAACATTTTTAGTATATCCCATAATCCAAGTTAACGTGTAGCTATCCGCATTTGCCAAATCCTTCCATTGCCCATCAGGGGCAGTATCACCTCCTGTGGGAAACGCTGCGAAAGAGGATCCAAATCGCTGGCTTAGATGAAGAGAAGGTGTTGGAAGATTTAAGGGTAGAGCTTTTCCTTAGATTTCTCCCAAAGACTTGAGCCCGTTCTTCACCACAGGCTGAGCTGACAGCTCAAGTGACCGTGGCGAAGTGCATACAACCGTGCAGCTAGACTTGCATGCCCAGGCCTCCCACAGCTAGGAATGCCTCTGTGCTTGGTGCCAGCCAGCTGCCAGGACTGTTGGGGCTCCTGAGCCCCAGGAGGTGGCAAACTTGATCTGCTGAGGAGGAATAAGATGACATTGACTAACTGGCAAACTGACCCCATCCAACTGATTTATTTTTAGAGCCGTGTGTGAGTTGGCCAGCTGTACCGATGACTCGGTGTTTCAGGTTCCAATCCATTTCTTCTGTGGTGCTCGGGGATTTTGGAGGCTTGTTTAGCTTGAGGAAGAGCAGGAGAGGACGAGGGATAGTTCATTCATTCTGTAGGATGGTCTTTTTTTTTTTTCCCTATTACTTGATACTTAGATTGCAATAGAAAACAATATATGTTAAGATGGTGGAGAAAATAAAAATAGCAGTCAACCACAGACTAGACAGAGCACATGGCTTGACTCATTAACGTCTCGCAATGACCCTTGGAGGTAAGTTCTGTTCTTATCTCCGTTTTGCAGGCGACTGTCAGCCACAGTCACATAAAGTAACATGCCCAAAGTTACACAGGTCTTTAAGGGCAGAGCTGGGCTCTACACATGAGTTATGTAGAAGTTTGTCTTTGCTTGTCTATTTTCCTGAGATTCCTTTCCAGTCCTGTGTCTGAGACTTCTTCATGCACTTATTTAAAGAGAGCATCTCACTTATTTTGGGGACTATTGCTTGCATAAGCCCCCAAAATATGAATGATTATATTATTTTATTTGCTAGGCTATGCTAACAGAAATCGAGCACAAGGTTGTGTCTCTGTTGGAGAACTGCAAAGATCAGGGCCTGGGAGATGGTGGAGCCATTCAGCAAGAGGCTGAAGCCTTGTCCTTGAAACTGAAAACTGTGAAATGCAATTTGGAAAAAGTCCAGATGATGCTTCAAGAGAAATACAGTGAGGATCAGGTAAAAGAGAACTCTCTATGTCTGCGTGTATGTCTCTCGACACATGTGGTAGGGGGCCCTCCCTGGTGGTGTGACAGGCAGGTAAGTGCCATTCTGACTGTTGGCACCCCGTCAGCAACTCCATAGAAGGGAAACCTGGGGATCTGCTCCCGTAAAGATTGCAGCTTGGAAATCCCTGCTCAGTCCATGGAGTAGCCGTGAGTCCAACTGACTGGCCAGCATACAGAAACCACATATGAAACCACACAGAAACCATGCACGTTTGGGAGACCCAGCAATGCACTCGAAACTGGAAGGAATGCGTCCACTGGCTTTGTATTACTGATTTTATTTGGGCACTTTTCTGAGGAGCCCAGGTGGTGCCATGGGTTATGCCTTGGACTGTTAACCACAAGATCAGCAGTTCAAAGCCACCAGCCACTCCTTGGGGAAAAAATGAGGCTTTCTACTCTCCCATACAGTTCCATCGTGGAAACCCACAGGGACAATTCTGCCCTGTCTTATAGGGTAGCTATGAGTGGGAATCCGCTCGGTGGGTGAGTGAGTGAGCGAGCGAGCAAGCGAGTGCACTTAGGTGGTTGGTGGTGGTGGTGATATGGTTTGAGTTGGTTTGATTGGGTTGGGTGTCCTCACTGGTCTGATAGAAGATTTTGTACAAGAAACACCTATTGTAAAGGAACTGTGAGACTCTCCAATTGATTAGGAAAGGAAGCCTTTACAGGTGAGATGAAAATATGACATCAGAAACACAAAATCTGCTTCCAGGGCACTTTGGCAAATACTTACAATAATCTGAGCAAAGTATTATACAGTTAAAGTGTTCTTTTGGTTTTTAAAAGCTTCCCTTATTTAATTAATACAAGTTTGCGTTATTTGATGATAGGATCTTAGTCGAAAAGATTTGCATTCATACTTATGCATGGTTTTTAGGGGACTCAGACTCAGAAATGAGATTCGGTGTGGATGTACAGGACGGATGGTTCACTTATCATCCTAATATGTTCTTTCTTTTCTGAAGAAAAAAAACGACCTATGTTTTAGACATAGAGGAACCTTTGAAGCATAGCACACTTTTAACTTTTATTTACTTCCTTTTCTGAACATAGACAATTCCTGTTTTCAATAGTTCATTAGATAAATTTGACTAAAGGACGCAATCAAATGTAGAGCATGATTTTTTGAGTTGTTATGAAAAAAAATCACATTAACACAGACATAAGTAATTATAATAAATGGCAAAATACTACCATTTGCTTCCTATAAATCTCTTCTGCTATTCAGATGGAAATAAAGTGGGTCTTTTCAATGAAATAATCTGCCCTCGTGAAATATTTTTGCAGCAGTCAACCATTGGAAAGAAGGCTTCTGAGCATGAAAAAGTTCTCCAGCCGGATAATCTCTCTGCCTTCGACTCCATGATCGGTGAGAGGCCACTGTTCAGCAGACACAAAGATGTGCAGCGGCCACAGGTAATTTCAATCCTCGCATTGGTAAAGGATACAAAGAAAGTTTACTAACTGGCATCGCGTTTTGAACTAAATGTTAACCTGCCCTTGGAGTGTTTGCTGACTAGGTGGAAAGGTGATGTGTGGCCATGCGGCATGTACAGCCCCTGGTCTGCCCTCATCTGCCACTGGTAGGGCGGCTTTCCTTTGCTCCTGAATTGGCTTGCATCTTATATTAAACAGCCTATTCCTTCAGGATGAACTTAACCTGCATGGCTACAACACTCTGTTCTCTATTGCTGGGAGAATGGTCTCTCTTTGTAGTTCCCATCTGGGCCACCTAAGCAGAGGCCTTGGGTTCAGTGCTTTCCCTGACAGCTGCTGGTAGGTGCCGTCTAGTGGATTCTGACTCACAGCAACATTAAGCAACACCGTGCAAACAGAATGAAACACCCGGCCCAGTCCTGCCCCGTCCTCACGACTGTTCTGTTGGAATCCACTGTGGTAGCCACTGTGGCAATCCATCCTGTTGGGGGCTTTTCTTTTGTTCCGACAGCACCTCTACTTTACCAAGCATGATGTCTTTCTCCGGGGACTGACCTCTCTTGATAACATGTGCAACGTACGTGAGACAAAGTCTCACCATCCTTGCCTCTAAGGAGCATTCCCTTCTAAAGGGATTGGGGATTGGATCCCTCTTCCTCTTTCTCTTCCCTCCGTCCCTGCCCTCCCTCTCTCAGTCCCTTCTCTAGGTCTAAGAAAGCTTCCTCTCTTCATGAGCTCACAATAACTTCCTTTGTCCCCATGACTACTTAATTGTACAGAATCACCTTTTTTCCCCACAAGTCATTTTATTCGGACATAATCCAGACATCATACCATTCAATACTTCAGTCATATCAAGCCGGGTGGTACAGTCACTACCGCAACCATTTTCATACAGTTTCACCCTTCTTGTAGTCCTGTTGTCAGCTCCCCGTACTCCCTCCGACCCCTGCCACGCCTTCCAGGCCCCCTGTTTGAGTTCCTGTCTCTAGAGACCCACCCCGCCTGGTTTCATACACCAAGAAACATAGAAAGACACATGACAGGGTCAAGAACACTATCGACAATAACAAAATGCAACACAGATAAGCCCCAATCTGGAAAACGTGATAGGTTGATAGATAGATTGATGATAGATAGAGGTGATGGATGGATAGATGATAGATGGATAGATAGATAGTAGAAAATATGAAAAGCCAGATCAAGTTCAAAGTGTATCCAGAGGGAGATTGAATGATAAGATGTAACCGTTCAAGTCAGATGTATCGTTTTGATCTGTAACCGTCTCTCCAGTACTCTGTCTGATAACCAGGCTCGTCGCTGAAGGGGGTGGGCAGGGGGCAATTCCTTCTGCTTTGGCCGGTTTACGCTCAACACAGAACACAATGGCCAGATCTGGTGAGCAAAGGCCCCTTTCTCTTTTCCATGCAACCCAGCACACATTCAGCCTACGCTCTATAAAGGGGCTTAAAAGGTTCGTGGGGAAACATCTTTTTTTTTCCATTCCATTTTCCTCCAACTGTTTGAAGCCTAGGCACCGCCTCCCATTTGTTCTTTTACCTACGGCAGTGGTTCTTTACCTCCTCACGCGGCGACCCTTTCAGACAGGTCCTCCTGTGGTGGTGACCCCCCAACCATAAGATGATTTTCCTTGCTACTCCATCACTGTCATTTTGCTACTGTTATGAATCGGGTGACCCCTGTGAAAGGGTTGTTTGAC